CTTTTCCATTGGTGTGAAAGCGTGGAACATCATATTTGCAATTCGATACACGGCAACATTTGAATTCATATTAACAGATTTGTGCAAAAAGTGTGTATATCTTTCCTCGTTAAAAGAATTTAATCCCTGTTTCGAAAAGATCTTTTGCCAAATTTTCTCGGCTGATGAGATTGTCTATGTTTTTTTTTTCTTTTTCTTTTTTTAAACAACTTTTTGAATTATCTCTTAATTTACCTTTACTTTGCATCCAACGAATTCATGATTCATTAAGGGAAGGCGAAAACTTTTCACGAACAATTTAATCGCATCTTCATTTTTTATTTAATCCATTCGATTCATTTTTTAACTTTCGAAAAAACTGGAAAAGAAAGTTTTACTTGAAGTGGGGAGGGGGGAAACGAGAAAAAAATATGTACATACTCCAGTCAAGGAATATCAAGAAGTTTTCCCAAATTAAATATTTCATTTAGTTTAGTAACGTTTTCTTGCTAGTTATACGACGCTTCAATTTTCGTAATATCATTTAATTAAATTATGCAGGAATTTAAGCATTTCGTTCACGTATGATGAGAAATAATAGCGCATGAGAGGGAACTTGGTTAATAAAGGTTATAGTTTAAGATGCATTTATAAAATAAGTTTCGAGAAAATTAAATTGCACTTAGTAGTATATCAGATTAGATTAAATATGTTTTTTTTATATATATATATATATATTGCATTAATAATATTTGCATTCTAGATTATATTTGATTGATATCGTGATAATATGAAAATTATTTCGATATTGCGAATTTAATCTCATTTCTAGTATTTTAATTAATTTTTTCATGTCTGAGGCGTGTTTTTTTCTTGAACAGAATCCTTGAACGAAGTGAATTAATGTAAGTACATTGTTAAATACGGGTATTAGGGTATGCGCATTAATTCTCACTTTTAATATTATGTGCATTAATTTCCATCTTGTATTTTTTATATTTATCGAGAATTTTATTAATAAATTTTATTTTAATTTAATAATATACGAAGCATAATTTTATAATTTAATTTTATAGTACTTTAGATAATTTAATGAGATTAAAAGGAATTCAAATTAAATTCTATAAAACTAATATAAGGAAAATTTAAAAAAAAAAAAATTATTTATCTTATTTCATAGAATATAAATTAATGGAATATTTATACATTTCATAAAAATTATTATTTCATGTTTTATTAATATTTTACATTTTACATATTTATATCTTAAAGCAGAGATATTTATAACATATATTTATAATAGATAACATAACTATAAATGAAACGATAAACGGGTGATAACACGCGCATATAACAGATAACAGATTTTATATAAAATAAAAAATATATAGAATAAAAATTAAACGTCTATTTAACTTACGAGTTTGCTTTGATATTTCATTCCAAATTTTTATTTCAAACATTTTATATTTCAAATATTTTATTGCAAATAACTTCGTTAAATAATTCATCCAACTCGGCAAATATATATTTATACCCTATTACATTATATAATAACAAAAATTTTTCTTTATTGAAAGGTATTCAACACAAAGATATCAAACATCTCAAATTCAATGCAAACACACCAGATATCCCATCCACTTATATCTATCTATCTATCCTCTACTGTGTATCTAATAATCTCAGCTTGCAATCTCGTACGTAGGATTATCCAATGTCTACGTATTCGGTATCGTTCAAAATCGGCCATCGGACAGATATATAACACGTAATCATCGATCAATTTCGGTTCAATCGGTAAGGTAGCGCGAAAAATTCGATTTCGGCTTAATTGATGCGCTTGCTGCGCGCGATGCGCGCGTCTGCATTCGGCGGATTGCGCATGCGCGTGTCCCCTCGCGTGCTTCGTTAATCACGCACGTTGACGGTTGAATCTTGGCAAAAAGAAAAGGGGAGAAGGAAACGAAGAAGTGAGCGCATTTGTGAGTGCGAGGAAGGAGGGGAGGGGAAGAGGTAAGGCATAAAAGACATGAATGCGAGTCGTTGCTCGCTTTGCTGTTCGCACAGGAAGCTTCATCGAGAGTTATACGCGGGACTGTACGCGAACGTGCACGCTTCGTTTATCGAATTTCTCTCTCTCTCTCTTTCGATCTCTCGCTCCCTCTCTTTCTCCTTTTTTTTTCTTTTCATATTTTTCTCATTCTCTCTTCTAGTTACCTTCCTTTAAAATAATTAAACGTTGCTTTTTTTTTTTTTTTTTTTTACACTTTTGTAATAATGGCGATCTTTTTAAAGGATAACGAAAATCGTGGATTATTCTGATTTCATTTTTTGTGTTTTTTTTTCAATTGTCTCGAATAATTGGAAAAGAAAAGGTTGATTAATTGATTAATTTTTCTTCAGTTGTTTGTAAATTGCAATAATTTGTAAAATATTTATTCGATTCGAATAGTAATATTGTGTTTATCGGAGAACGTTTGGATGATAATGCTTAACTTAAAAATGAAATTATTCTTAAAATTGTT